CTCTTTCCCCCAAACCCTTGTACAACCAATAGCTTTGGGGTCCCCTGAGAATGCATTTCCAGAGCTCTCCACAGGGCACCCAAGCCTTGGTATACCAGAAGGCAATAGTACCAGCCCTCAGTCTGGCCTGTCACTACCTTAGGGCCCCTGTGCATACTGCACAAAATGGGAAGCTGTGAGATGGGTGTGCTTTCAAGTCCCATGGAAAAACACCCTTGGGGCCTGGTCCTTCAAGGGAAGCAGACATGGTGGCCAGGTGGAAGGAACTTGGACCACTCATTTGCTTGAGCTTACCTAAAGACCCTCTAGCCAGGGCTGTGCTTCTAGAAGGCGATGTGCCTGTGAAGTTCGGGTGTGAGCTAACCCAAAGAAGTAAGGCCCTTTTCATCCTCCTCCTTGGCTTCTTTAACTTGACAAATGAATGGCACCTGTCAGAAGTGTTGTCCTTGATCTCAGGGAGGAAGCAGAAGTGTGCCATCACCTCGATCCAGCCTGTCACGAGTGGCACATCTGTTTGGGCACCAGAGAGCTTTGCCTGTCATTCGGGGTTGGTTCTGTGGTATGGTTGGAGGGTGTACCATCTAGCACTGCCCCCAGCCAGGCAGTACTCCACCCTGCATCCCCAGTAATGACATTAGTTGGCTTTTTGTATGTAGTAGTAGGGAGATTAGGAGGGGCTTGAGAGGCTATAACAAGGTAAAACCCAAAGGTTTTATTCTCATCATCCAGTGTTTGTCAGGACTCTCCTCCAGGGTCCTTGGATTTGTGCTATGGGGTCCCTGCTATGGCTTCCCTCCAGCAGTGGGCTGCAGGGTTCTGTCAGGTGAAGATAGAAATGAGAATGAAGATAGGAGATGGTGGATAGCCAAACTTCCGCTTCAGCCATTTCTAGTTGTCTGCTACAATTTCAGGGATACCTGGGGCTGCTGAATCCCAGACCCCCATGGATTGGGGCAGGAAATTTTATTCATCCCACAGACTTCTTGTGGAGCCATGTTCCTCCTGCCTCTGCTGTGGAAGAATGCTGCTCCCTGAGTGCTGGGCCAGGTGCTATCTTCCCCACAGTCAGATTCCAAAGTTCTCACTCCTCCCTGCCTGCACGAACCTCCAGGTGGCCTTTTGCAGCCTTGGTCCTAATGAAATGAGCTCCTCACCATGTGCCAGCCTGGTAGGACAGCTGCACATTTCAGTTCTTCCCACCAGAGCTGCAGCCCCTGACTGGCTGGAAAAGCATATAAATGGCCAGGAAAAGGCTACATCTAACCTAGGTGCTCAAGTCTTGAGTCCCTGACAGCACAGGCCTTCCACCCTAGGATAAGGAAATGAACCAGCTTGTACCTTTTGCACTGTCTCCTTCCCCTAGTGATATGCAGGATGGAGAAAGAGGCAAGCCCAGGCCTGCCTCTCCTGCCCCACATATGTCAGGTGTGGGGGCCACAGAGGCCCGCTTGGAGTAGATGCGATGGAGAAGGAGCACAGCCTGTTTACGAAGCTGTTGGGGATCCAGAGAGGTCTAACTTGCTCCCTTAGGTGCATAGCTGAGTTAGCCATCACTAGGGGAAATGCACGAGCAGATTGCTTTGAGATCAGTGATGCCGGCAAAATCACCCTAAGTTGCAGAGTGAGGAGACTGAAGAGCAACAGGGGCTGCAGCCCCTCAAATGCCATATCAGGGGTGAGATGCCTGAGACTGAGAGTGAGAAAGAAATGGCCGAGAGAGTCAGCAGTACAACTCCATCCTCTTATTAAAACCAAGCTATCTTTCCTACCACCTTTGTTGAAGTTTCTTTCCTCCAATATTTTATTGTGAAAAATCCCAAACATACAGCAAAGTTGAAAGCATTCTACAGTAAACACCTATACCCTCATCTCCTAGGGCTAACATTATACTGTACTTGCTTTACTGCCTGTCTGTCCACCCACCAACCCATCTTGTCCTTTTGATGTACTTCAGAGGAAAATGCAAATTGGGCCTTTTAAGTATAAAAATAATGGGTGTTCAGACATTCAAAGACTACAAAACTGCATAAAAGTATTTTTCTTTGTATCCTTCCATACCTTTCCTTTGCCTACACAAACATATAAGTATGTATGGTATCCAGTGCTTTAAAAGCATAGGATCTTCCCTTTATGTCAGTGTGCCATGCCCCACATTTGGAGTGGCTGACTGTACCATCTCCTTTCTGTGTTTGTATCACCCTTTCCAATAGCCCTTAGGTTAGCCAAATGTTAACAGAGTCATGACCACAGGCTGTCGTGGCCATGAAGCCAAGTGACTTCTCTCAGTCTTATGTACCAGGCTTCAATATCATATTGGTTCTATTTTTTGGTTTTGTTTTGTTTTTGGTACCGTGGATCAAACTCGGGACCTTGTGCTTGTGAGGTTGTGAGGCGGGTGGTGGAACCACTGAGCTAAATTGCCGGCGATATTGGTTCTAACTTACGCCTTCTCCTTGGGGCTCTGGGCGGAGAGGGTGTACTAGTCACTAAAGCCTTTTTTTTTTTTTTTTGGTACCAGGGATCAAACTCACGACCTTGCGCTTGCAAGGCAGGCGCGGTGTCACTGAGCTAAATCCCAGGCCCAACCAGAGCCTTTTAAGCCATGAAGAGTCTGGTTTTGTGGGCTCCCCAATGTTTCCCTTCCTACCAAAACAATCAGAAGACACAAACAGCACTGGGGGAGGTCATCTGACCATGTCCCTGTCCCATTCTCACCATTCACAGGCCCTCTGATGCGGGCAAGATATGCGGCTTCTTGAGGCTTCCATATCCTCATTTGCAAAGTGGGAATGGTACCTTGTGCCTTGTTCATAAGATCATGAGGCCGAGGAAAATCTGCACAGGGACTCTTAGTGTATACCACAGGCAAAAGGGCTGAACATAAGTCTTTGTTTGTGGGGAGTGATCCTGCTATAAGACCTTTCCTCATGGCCACCATTCACTCACTTGATGTCTCTCCTGTGGCTTGGGGAACTTCTGGGTAACCTGTTCATGTTGCCTTTCTCACCTGCCCTCCACATATCAGCATTTACCTATGTCTGTCTCCTGCCATTTGGACTACACTCTAAACTTTTCTCCCTGGACCATCTCTTTATCCCACATCTACACATGTGGCCCACAGCTCTGTTCTGAACCCCATATCTAGACTTTAGCAGATTCCTGGAGGTCTCTTGTAGGTAGTTGCCTGCCTGGAAATCTCCCACCTGACTCTGAACTCATCACTTCCAGATCAGGCCTGTCCCCCTGGAGTCCCTCCCAGTGACAAGCATACACCTTGTGCTGCACAGTCGGTCGCTAGGGTAGGCCCTCCATCTTCAGGCTCATCCCATTCTGTTCTCCAGTAACTCTTAGAGATGTGGTCAGGGTGCACCTCCATGCCTCTCTGTTAGGCAGACAAGACCCAGCTCCATAGTAGAGCGTGAGCCTGTCTTCAGAAATTGGCCTCACTGGGCCCCATGGCTTCATGTGCCTCTTGCACCTGCCTTAGCCATTCAGGTACATGACATTGTTCCCTTTGCCTGGAACCCGCCTCACCTGCAGTCTCTGCTTCTGCCAGCCTCATCATGGCCTCTCTCTAGACAGTCCCTGCCCCAAGTGGGCACCTTCCACATCCATCACATCTGCACTTCTGCATTAAAAGGCTACCTAGGAATTGGCATGCTATGCATTTTGGTTTTCTTATTCAGCCTGTCCAGCTTAGTCACTCTCGAGTCGCTACTGAGTAATGTAAGAAAGCATTGCTGAGCTGGCCACAGTTTACTCCTTGCTGTGCTCCGGCTTTCCCAGCCGGGCCTTACTGCCTGCTTCTGCATGTGCAGGAGCTGACTTCCCATTCATTCCTTTGAGGAGGGGAAGCAGAGTCTTCTTTTTCTATTTTGAAATTGAGGTGAAATTCACATAAGCTTAGCCATTTAAAATATACAACTCAGTGGCATTTGGGACATTCACTGTTGTGCAACTACCCCGTCTGTCTGGTTCCAAACATTTCATCACCCTGAAAAGAAACCCTTTAGTGTGATCCCACTTATATGAGCTCCTAACATAGTCAAACTCATGGAACCAGAGAATAGACTGGTGTTTGCTACAAGTGGAAAAGGGAGAAATGGGGTCGTATAAAGTTTCAGTTATGCAAGATGAAGTTCTAGAGATCTGTTCTACAACATTGTGCATTTAAAAATTTGTTAAGAGGGCAGATCGTGTATTAAGTGTTCTCGCCACAGAAAAAAATTTTTTTAAAAGGGAAGGAAATTCCTTACCCATTAAACAATCATTCTCCATTTTTCCCTGCCCCCAGTCAAAATCTGCCTTTTGTCTCTGTGGATTTGTCTATTGTGGATATTTTGTATAAATGATACCATAAAGGAGTGTCATTTTGTGTCTGGCTTCTCTCACTTAGGATAATATTTTTGAGTTTCATCCACATTGTAGGGTGTATCAGTTCTTCCTTTTCTTGGTGGAGTGGTATTTTAGTGTGTGTGGCTATACTTCATTTATCCATTTAGCAGTTGGGGGACGTTCAGGCTGTTTTCCACTTTTGACTACAATGGATTGTGCTGCGGTGAACACTCACATCCAACTATTTGCTCGTGTAGCTCTTTCTTCCCTTTTTTCTTGCCTTAAGCACCCTATGCAGTACCATGTTTTTCCAAACCAGAAGTCAGCATGCCAGGCGTGTGCGTGTGTTTGGGGGAAAGTATATTAAGGGAGCAGCTTGCCTCATACTGCCTGTGCTCCTTCTATCCCTCTCCAAACCTTTTTCATCCTCTACCACCTGGCCTTCGGTTACTCCCACTTGGGATTAATCCCCTTCTGTCTTCAGGTACATAATATGTGATGCACATATCTTGTCTCCACAATGAGGTTCTTTCTTAAGGTCAGGGTCCCTCCTGGGCTGTGTACCCCACAGACCCTAGCAGTTTGGTCATCCAGCCAGTTCCTAGACCTGTACTTGTTCTGTGCCACCCACCCGCTGGTGACTAACCTTCTTGTCCCTCTTGCAGATGATGTGCTGACTAAAGATGCGGGTGAGTGTGTGATCTGCCTAGAGGAGCTGCTTCAGGGGGACACGATAGCCAGGCTGCCCTGCCTGTGCATCTATCACAAAAGGTACGAGAGCCTGGCAGGGGCAGCTCAGCCACGTCCCACATCCCAAGAGGCACAGTAGACCCTCATCACCAGCCATTCTGTGCCTCTTGATTATGGGACACTCTCTCCTCCACAGGGTCCAGACTGCTGTCAGGAAGGTTCCGTAACCCCAAGTGTAGGGTAGAAGTGAATTGCCCAAGGTTCAGCTCTGCTTTGACAGCTTGGATGGTGGGAGTGGTGGGGAGACTAGAGCCCCGCCGCTTAGAGGTGCGACAGATTCCACCTGGAGCTTCGCTCCCCCTTGGTCTCCCTCAGCCTGTTCTTCCTACACCGGCCCCTCAGCTCCACAGGGTGAGACCGGCAGATCCTTGCCGCTCTGTGGGCACCCAGAGAGAGTGGCGATAGTAGCGTAATGAGGTTTGGCCACAGCTCCAGCTTTTGGTTTCCAACCAGAAAAACGACCCCTCTTTGCCCAAGATGGAGAGCACCCTGTGCTCCTGTGGCTGCTACCTGCCTTCTGCTTTTTGAGCCCAGAGCTGCTTTTGGCCCCAAGCAGGCCTGACCTGAGGCCACTGGTCTACAGGCCAACAGCCTTGTGTGGTACATGGATGTGGCTGGTGCAGAGACCCATGCCTGACTTAGGGGAGAGCTGTGCTTCTTGGTCTCTGTCCCAGCACACAGCCCTGCCGTGTCCCAAGGAGGCACTAACTGGAACCAGAAAGCAAAAACCAGTCCTGGGGGAAGCTTATGCAAATGATCTGTCTGCTTCCTGCCTTTAAAAATGCCCACATGCGGTTTACCTATCAGGCAGCTGTCTTGGGGCCATTGCTGTTCCTCTTTTGAGGCAAGCAGTCCTGTGTCAACACTGGAGACAAGGGATTCACTGAAAGCCTCCTCCTTGGCTCCCTTTCTTAGCAGTGTCATGCAGCCCGAGGTCCTGTGCCCCTTCCTACCTTCACCAGGAGACTTGGGGTTCTCCTGAGTGAGCACTCACTGGGGAGGTGGTGTCATGGCTGCACTCTTCACATAGGAGGGACTGCTCTCAGGATCCCAGAGCTGGGAGCCTGGCCAGCCTGCCCTGTCTTTCTCCTCATTCCCCATCCCTCAGGCCTTGGAGCTAGTTGACTGCATAATTGACCACAGTACACGCTCCGATCACCTGCCCCTTCTCCCTGGTAGTTTTTGCTGCCCTCCCAAATGCCTTACACTCGGGCCTTGGTCACTTTCAAAGCCACTGCTGCCCTTCCTGCAGCAGCAGATCTACCTCAGCCTGTGCCCTACCCCTGCCGACTCCTGCTGAGGCAGGATCACTCTTGGTGCTCTCCCTTCTCCCTGCTTCAAAAAGGAAGCCAGGATCATCTTTCCACGGGGTCCTTTCAGGAGAGTGTCCCTTGTCTGGGGTCTCTGAGCTCACTTGCTTTCCCCTTGCTGCTCCCCACCCCAGCTGCATAGACTCGTGGTTTGAAGTGAACAGATCTTGTCCAGAACACCCTGCGGACTGACCCTGCCGGGCTTGCTTGCTGAATCCTCTCAAAGGTGAGCTCGTGCTTGGGGGTGCTCTGGGCTCCAGGCTCCAGGAACTGGTCTGTGGGGGTGCCTGGTGATGGGGAGCTGGGCTGCCCTGGCACAGCCTTCCAGGAAAAAGCAGGGGTGAAGGAAAAGGCAGCAGCTCATCAGTGTGTAGTCTTGTAGAGTGCAGAGGCTTCCTGGGGAAGGATGAGAGGCGCACACAGGCATGCACAGGACCATGAAAAGCATGCTGGGAAGAGGTGGAATTAGTTGGGGGAAACCCCAGTATATTCCGGACATCGGGGTAAAGCTTCTGAGCTCCTACACCAGTAGGAGGAGCAGGTGAGCCCCTCATGGGGCTCTAGGTTTGCAGCTCTGCCCCAGCCATACTCACCTCTCAGGGTCTCCTCAGACAGAAAGTGACTTTCACTTTGTGGATAGGTTCTCAGTAAATACACAGCCCATGGCACCATGTATTGTGGGCTGCAAAGTGCTTGTCAGTGGTCATTTTACTGCCAGCCCTCCCTGCCAGTCACCTCCCACACCCCCTTCCAAATGAATCTGAGGCCTCTAGGCCAGTCTCAGCCCCTCCGTCCTGCAGCACAGGGTCCCGATGACAGCAGGCCAGGCCCTCAGTGCCCTCCCCGACGTGGCCACTTGTGTCCCCGGGGTTACCATTGGGTCTGCCTCTCCAGTCTTCCCCAGGGCACCTTGCTTTACTGTTGACCACTCTCTCCTGTCCCCTGCCCTACCTGTCCTTTCTGAGTTCTGAGCTGGCGTTTTCTTTCTTCTGGTAAACAGATAAAACAAAACCCCAGAAAAATAAAAAACCCCAAAGCCCAACTTGACTTCATCTCACTCACATCCAGAGGTTTTGGGTCTCTCTCTCTCTCCCTCTCTCTCTCTCTCTCTCTCTCTCTCTGTTTTGTTTTCTTTTGTTGGGTTTATTTTATTTCTTCCAAGTAAATGCCCAGAACAGTTGATGATGTCAGATAAATCAGGGACATTTTCTCTTTTTACCTTCACTTCAAAAACTGACAAGGGGAGAAGAAAAAGCAAGGGTGAGAGTGAGGCAGAGGGAGTGGAGCCTGGCCTGGGGTGCGGTCCTAATGCCCGGCATGATGTTTGGCTCTGGGGAAACCGGCCAGCCTACCCTTGGGGGGACACTCGCTGCCACCACGAGATGCAGCACCGGCCCTCAGCCAGACAGAGCGCAACTGACTTATTCCGATCCACATAGGGACACACGGCCCCTGTTCTGAGAGGCTCATCGGACACTGGGGCAGAGCTGAGCTTGGGACACCAGTGGGAATGGGGGACTCCTTCTGCACTGACTTGGACAGCGGTTCTCCCTCCTCCCTGAGGACACCAAATCGGACGAGAGAAGAGTGAATCGACTGCTTATCCTTCCCCTCCCCCCTCAGCCCTAGGAGGGAAAGGGCATTTTCTTTTTCACCTTTGAAAGGCATTGTGGGTCTGTCTTTAAAGTGTTTACAAAAAAAATTATATAAAAAAAAAAGTCGTGTCGACTGGTGTTTTCCCTCGTGATGTTTACAGATTGCTGTTTGCTGTCCAGCTGTAACCCACTCAGTGACAACCGGACATAGTCACAGCCTCGCCGCTCGCCCTCCGACGGCACTTGGGCACACACAGTCTCATCCTTTGCCCAGCACCCTGACAGCTCTCTGCATCACCAACCTCTCTACTTTGGGGTGGGTTTCTTGGTTGTTGTTGTTATTGTTTTGTTTTCTATTTTTTCCCTATTTTTCTGGCTTGGTTTTGCACTTTTCTTCTCTTTGAGACCCTGATTGATAACTTGATTTCATTGCCAAAACAAATGCCCGTCAAGGACTTTCTCCCACCTCCAGCCTCATGTCATCCCCCTTTTTTCCTCTGCTTCTGGTCAGTTCACAGGATTTAACAATCACAAGTGTCCTGCAAAAATGCCTGAACATTTTTCTTAGGCCCTTGTGGATTTTTTTTCCCCCCAGAAAACATGAATAAAAGACTTACTGGAGACACACGTACCGAGACCCCTTTTTTCAGGCACTCTGTTTGAGAACATTTTAGCCATTAATGTTCACATGTGGCATTGGCCCATGCAAGATAGGTTTCTGTATTTATATATTAAAATACAAAAAAAACCTTCATAAAATGTTTAAAAAATGTTCGAAGCTTGGGAGAAAAGCTTTCTTCATCAGTCAAGGTGTTTTGATATGGTATTAAAATAATGTCTAATAAAAGATACACTGTGTGATTTTATTTTGATGCAGTATTGTTACAGGATGAAGAACTGGGGACAAAAGCCCGTCCTCCACCCCTCGCCTACCTCCTTAGCATTCCTGCAGGTCCTCACTGCTGTTCCTGGCTAGCAGGGAAGGGGTGGTTCCCATGTTCACTAACCCCCTTAAGTGTTGTGGAACCAGTTGCCATCACCTGTGGAGTGGCAGGGATGGAGCTTTTCTGGAAAGGTCTGCAAGGGCAAAGCTTTTGGAGCCACCGGAGGCCACAAGGATGTGGTTCATCCAGGTACCAAGCAGCCCAGCACTCCTGCCCCCCTCAGCCTCTGCTCCCCATCCCACATCCGGCCTGCCTGTTGCTCCATCCGCATCCCAGTGCTGACTCATGGGCATACTTCATTGAGGCCCAGGAAGGGGCCTGGTTTGAGGCCGAGCCAGCTCAGAACCCTTAGCCAACCACTCAGGTTCACAACAGTTGGCAAACTGTAGGCTGGCCAGGAAGCACAGGGCAAGGGGCAGCAGTGCCTGCCCAGTCTGTTTCCAAGCCAGGGAGCTACACTCCAGGGCCTCCTCCTGAGCCAGCCAAGGACCCTCCCAGGCCTGCTGTTTGTGCTTTTGTGCAAGGGCATTCCCTGCAAGCCAGTGGGCATGTTCCTTGCGCTCAGAGAACTGAAGAAGAGTTGTGCTTCAGAGCCTCGGCTACACTGGCACCTTACCTGGGGTGGACACCCTAGGACTTAAAAATGCTGCTGTGAGAGGTGGTGGCCAGAACAGGGACTCTGTCTGTGGTTGTGCTGTACTTCTTGGCAGAATGAGAAAATTACTTCATTCATCCGAATATCAGATTGTTCGCATGTGAAGTGGGGACAAAATCATACAGCTCAGAGGTCACTGCAAGGGTCGGGATCTGCCCTGAAGGCCTGGCACATGCGCAGCAGGCTTCCTTGTAGCCTTGTCACCGCAAAGGGCACTGTTCTATTCACAGCACCTTCTCCTTCTGCCTGGCAACTGTGTCTCCCTGTTCTATATTTAATTCCACCAGCAAAATTGGTGGGGCAGGGCCCAGCTCTGAAGATTTCCTTGCCTGACCCCTGGACACAGAGAGGGAGGCTTCATGTGCCCACCTTGGCAGCCCGAGCCCAGCTCCTTCGGTGGTATCACAGTGAGCCAAGTGGTTGTGCACTGGGTGAAGTGTGGCTGGGACCCAACTGGGTGCTATTCCAGGCCCCCGTGCTCATCTCCATCCTGGGTGACTTTGCTCCCACCTGGTACACTGCAGCCCACTGCTGGATGCCACATCCTGAGTTCTGACCAGGTTGTCAGCACCTGGCGTGTGAGTGAGAGCGATGTTTGTGACCTCCATCCACACAGCTCTCCAGAATCCTTCATTGCCCCTGCTCTGCCTTTCTGGGAGGGAAGAAAGCATGAAGGAGACTGCTCATCTAATAGCCATTTAATGGTGTTGAAGTTTATAGGAGAAGGTCATTAACCTTCGGTGATAGATGCTGAATTATATAGTTGAATGCTTTCAAGAAATTTGTAATCTAATTCTAAATGGTTTCCCCAAAATACACAAAGCAAATAAGGCAAGAGCGTCCATTGTTGAATCTTCAGTGGCTGGTATTTCAGTGAATGATGTATTTGTTTCCAACTTTTCTGTATATTTGGAATTTTTCTTAATAAAAGAAGTTGTGGGTAAATGGCTGTTTGTGAGTGCCCATTACCTGCTAAGCACTGGAGGGCACATCAGAGAAAAGTCCCACTGAGGCAGATGGCCACTGCAGAATCTTCCCTAAGGTTGGTGGGAGCAGGTGGTCTAGAAGGGGGGTGGCCTGGAGAGTGATTTCCATGGTGAGCATGCTCTGGCTGGTGAGGGAAGAGGGCCCTGGGACTTGCCACCAAACCATCCTTGGCATAACCTCTGCTCCCAACCAGGTCAGCCACACAGGAATGTCACAGAAGAGTGTCCTCAAGCCCCCATCCGTCGCTGTCTGCTAGGCCTAGTGTGAGCACAGAGTCCCAAGAACCAGGGTTGGACTGAGGAAGTCCCAGGATGGCTGCCTCTGCCCAGGGTCTTGTGAGAGGGGTCTTAAGGGGCCACCAGGGCTTTGGGGAGGGCGTGAGGTGAGCAGGAGGGTACAATTGACCTCTACTGGCTCCTTTGCTCCCCCCACCCATCCCCTTCACTAAGAAGGTCAAAGGACCCCCTGGGGTGGGGGACATGGACAGCACTCCAGGCTCGTGGGACCTGCAGGGGGTAGGGGCTAGACTGACCACCTAGCCCCTCCCAGACCCTGGGAGGTGGGTGACCCAGAGCCAAGAGCTACAGGCATTGGACAGAGGAGTCCTAGGCCACAGCTGCCCACAGGAGACTGTAGTGTCTGAGCTTTCTGGTGTCAAGCGCCCTCTCGTGGCCTTAGGGGGATTAATTATCGAGTACCCTAGATAAAGGCTCTGGCCAGGGATCCCAAGACATGCAGGCTCCAGGCTGGGCTGGCCTGGCCTTGGGGAGCAAAAGCTGGTAGGATGATTCATTGAGCCACATGTGGGACAAGGAGGATAATCTTCCATTTCTCAGAATCAGTAGCAGCTGCTTGAAGAATGTGTTCAGGATGCTCTAAGACCCAGTTCAGGCCTGGTGAGGCTATCATAATTGACCTCCACTATGGACAGGTCCTCCGCCTGAGGTTGGGACAGAGATCTAGCTTCCTTCCAAACCCTGAGCAACATCCCCCTCCCTAGCCGCCCTAAGTGAGGACAGGCCCAGAACAAATGGGTCACTGGGCCCAGGACAATGACTCTGGAGGGGAGAAGGCGGTAGCTCTGGGAGATGCTGCCTGCTGATCTCCAGACAGCTGCAAATACATTTCAGATTCATTTGGGGCACCCCAAAGAGAAGACCTACCATCCTGAGGTGGGAGGGCCCTTCCCATTGTAGGAAAGCAGTGTTCCTGTCACCAGGTGTGGGTAAAGGGTCCTGGGCCCCAGAGTGGAGAGGTGTCTATCATGGGGTGACCCACACCAGCTCTCCCAACCAGGACAGATGTGTAGAGTGCAGAGGAAGCAGCCTCCAGGTTCCTAAGGGCTGCAAGGGGGTCAGGAAGGAGCCCAGCTTCTCTCTTGGCCTTCTGGCTGTAAGCCCCTACTACAGAGGGCTGGCAGAAATGGCATCAGCCACCATCCATCCCTTGCAGGGCTGGTGTTTCCAGAAGAGAGGCTGTGTCATCTGGGGGCTTGCCAGCCAAATCCTCGGAGCTCCTCACAGCACCTTGCCTGGGTTCATGAGGCCTCGGGGGTCCAGCATGACCTTGAGCTGCCGCATGGTCTCCAAGCCTACAGGGCCTACCTCTTCCTGTAGCAGCTGCCGCTTGCCAATTCCAATGCCATGTTCCCCAGTGCATGTCCCATGGAGCGCAAGTGCCTTCCTGAGATGCCATGAGAGGGATCCTTAGCAGGCTCTTCCCATCCCTTCTGCCCTCCCCCACTCCACTAGGCTCCCACCTGCCCAGCTCTTCTGCAAAGGTCTTGACCCTCTGGAGCTCCTCAGCATCATCTGGGTTCATCAGTAGGAGGCAGTGGAAGTTGCCATCACCCACGTGTCCGACAATGGCTCCTGGGGGCCCAGAGGACGGAGCAGTCACTACCAGCTTCACCTGCCCGTGGCCCGGGCACTAGTCAGCCCCAGCACCTCCCCATCCCACTCCAGCAGCAGGTAGGCAGAACCTGTGAGTCCCGAGGCCTTCAGCTTCTCCTTGGCATGCACCAGGATCTCCGGCAGCCGAGAGATGGGCACACACACATCGGTAGAATAGCCCTGGGTCAGAGGCCAGCCTGTGAGGCTCTGCCCTTATACCTGTCTGCTGGAGGTTACATGCAAAGGACGGGTCTGGGCATACCTGGAATCAGCTCTTGGCCTCAGGGAAGAAAGAGCTTGCTCTTATCTAGATGACTGGCCTGGGTGTGTGCACCAGGCCTTGCCAGCCCAGGCCTCACCACTCCCTGGGTCCCCCACCCTCAGCTGCATGCAAGGGCCCCACACCCCACACCACTGAGCCTCTGCAAGATTTGCCTGGGCCCCAGCCTCCCTTCTGGTTGGAATGACCACTTCCTCTCCCTGTCTCTTCCTCCAGGAGGCCCTCTCCCTTGTGTTTACTACTCCTAAGAGCCCAGCACTGCAGCAGCACCTGGTTAACAGGAAGGACTCCAGGCAGACAATGGTCCTTTCCTTCTAGGCACCATCAGAAACAGCTAGGTGGTGCAGTCTAAAGTAATGGGTTATAGGGCCGGGGATTTAGCTCAGTGGTTTCACCACCTGCTGCGCAAGCACAAGGACCCGAGTTCAATTCCCAGTACCAAAAAAAAAAAAAAGTAACGCGTTACAGTGCTGCTCAGTCAGGCAGCCCCCCCCCCAATCCCTGTAGGCCTCAGCCTGCTGCTGTGTACAGCAGGGTTGGGGGCTGAGGAAAAGGTTCTTGGGCCAAGCTATGGGTCCCACTTCCACCTCAGTCCCAGCTCACCTTGTAGCCTGGAGCCAGGGCCAGGAGTGCATACCAAGCGTTGTGCCGAGCTGTCCAAAGCCGGCTGCGCTCCTCTGCCTCCTTGGCCCAGGAGAAGTGGAAGGCACCATTGTGCTGGGTGATGGCCTCTGCAGTCAGGGAGGAAGGTTGACCCTGGATCCACACTGGGGGACCCCTGGCCCCCTTGTCTCACAGCCCCACCCTCCCCAGCACACCTGCCCGCTGCAGCTGCTCTGCCAAGGCCTGCTTGGAGCCATGGAACTCAAGGAAGAGCGTGGGTGCCACAGAATAGTTCAGCTTGCTGTACCTGTTGCAGGCGTCCATCATGACGTCATCCAGGAACTCTAGGACCAGGGAAAGAGATGGCCAGGTGAGGCCTGCCCTTCTGAGGACTCCGCACTGGTACCCTAGTCCCCGGCTCACCAATGCGGGCCAAGGGCACTGCACACTGGAGCATCTGTACAGTGCTGTCCACAGCAGCCTGGACACTGGGGAATGCACAGGTGGCAGCCACCGTTTCTTCAGGAGCAGGATGTAGGCGGAGGGTGGCAGATGTGATGAGACCAAGCGTCCCCTCAGAGCCCACAAAGAGCCCTGTGAGGTTGTAGCCAGCTGCAGTCTTCCTGGGCCCAAGACATAAGGTAGATGATTGCCCAGGCTGCACGATGGGAAATTTCTGTCCAGAAGTTGGGAGCTGGAACCCAGGGTACCATTCTCCTAGGCAGCCAGGTCTCAGCAGGCCTCCTGCTTCTCTGATTGTTACTCTACAACCCAGATCAGCCTTGTGCAGGGACAATAAACTCCAGCACCATCTACTGGCCCATTTGCAGGGTTCCAGGCCTCACCCACCTATCCAGGAGGGAGGCTGGAGGAGGGAAGCCCATCAGCTTCAGTGCACACTAGGACCCCGGGCTGGGGACAGAGGGAGCTCACTTGAAATGACGACCCTGGCCTGCAGTGTGAAGCAGCCGCCCGTCAGGCAGCACCACCTCCAGGTTGATCACGTTGTCACGCATGGTGCCATAGCGCACCGCATTGGTGCCCGAGGCCCCAGTGGCCACCATGCCACACAGAGAAGCATCTGCACCTGGGTCTGGAGAGCAGAGAGCAGGAAAGGGCAGCCCAGGCAGGGAGAAATGGGGTCCTCAGAAATAGCCCAGCCCCAGTGAGCCCTCAGGCCCCAGAGGGAAGGTGCCCAAGCCCCAGGCCTACCTACAGGAAACCAGAGACCACAGTCACGCAGGTAGGTGTTGAGAGCTTTACGGGTGACACCAGGCTCCACCACCACAGAGAAGTCTTCTGGATTCAGCTCCCTGATCCGGTCCATATGGGTCAGGTTAATGCACACACCACCCTGGTGGCAGGGATGCCAATAAGGCCAGCTGGCCTAGTCTCAGGGCCACACACGGCCCCAAGACCCCAATCCTTTTCAGAGGCCCCAGCAGCCACACCAGAGCCCCAGCATGGCAGGTGGGGTTGGCCACAAATGTAACAAGTGTCATGAGACCAGACCTGGGGCACCACTCTACCTGCAGAGCGCACACTCCCCCCTCCAGACCGGTGCCTGTGCCAAATGGGATGATGGCCACAGCTTGGCTGTAGCACAGGGCTGCCAGCTGGCTGACCTGGTCCACATTCTGGGGCCACACCACAGCATCAGGAGGATAGCACCTGGAAGAAGACCTCAGCAGATTAGAGAGGTGTGGGAGCTGGTCCTGCTCATTTCAAGGAGCCAGGAGGTGTTCAGGGCCTGAGGCCACAACTAGGTGAGGGACAGAGAGCAACCCCTTGTTTGGTGAATGCCAGAGCAAGCCAGAACAGGTGGGTGGGCTTGAGGACAACCCAGGCCCTCTGCCCTAGCCCGGGGTTTCTGATACCTGTGCATCGATTCATCGCGCCCGTGATGCTCTCGGACGGCAGCAGCCATGGACACATGGGGGGTCCCCACAACTGCCTCCAGAGCTTCCACAAAGCCCTTGCTGAGTCCATGCTACAGGGGAGAAACAGGGTCACCCAAAAGACCTGGGTCTCATCCTGCCCCTGTGGCAGGGGAGACAGGTGGAGGCTTAACAGGTTGCTCTGTGGTAAGGCAGAGCCTGGGGAAGTGGAAACCAGACTCTCCTCCCTCCCAGCCCCCAGACCTGTGGTGCCCTGGAGCAGTAGCCCCTCCAGGGGAACAGCCCCCAGGTTACAGCCCGGAGTAGCAGGGCCATTGCGGGACTGCGACTGGGGTGCAGCTCTGGAGGGTTGGGGGAAGGTGGCACCTGGATCCCCGCTGTTCATCTGCCCATTGGCTGCACTAGGGGGGTGGAGTCTGCTTAAGGTGGTGTGGGTTTAAGGTGGCCCCTGCAAATCTTGCCAAGTCAGAGGAGTCTGTGGGTGCCAGGATCAACATTTCTAAATGAGAGGGAGACTTGCCAGACACATTGGGAAATAATGTCAGTAGCCACTCCCTGCCTTAGCAATCTGTGATGGCTTCCTGTGGCCCTTCAAACACAAAAGCCTTGTGGAGGGCTTAAAAGTCCTACTGGCTCTGTAGACCTCTCCATCTGCTCCACTTCCTTCTAACCACCCCTTTAACCTCCAGGCTCAGCTTCCCTTCTGGTTCCAGTCCACCAGCTCTAGCCAGGCTCTGGGCTTGGCATAGCCCATGCTCTCAGTTGGCACCAGCTCCTGGTACTCTTCTTGGGTGGCGGGGTTTTCTTCTCCTTACAAGCCTCAGGCTGGTGTCACCGGGCTTTCATCAGGACCAAGAGGAGGGGAGCACCCAGAGTCACTCCTGGAATGGAGTGGGGGTGGGCAGTGAGGCATGCCAGGAAGACTTCCTGGAAGAGCAGCACTTCACCAGGTAGGTGAAGACTTATGCATCTTTCATTTCCACCTCCTTTAGGGCACAGCCAGGACCACCCTGGGGTACAGCCAGGAATGGGGTAGGTGCCAAGCGTGAAGCTCTGATTACATAAGCTAAAAGACGCCCTTGCTGGCATTGCTGAGTGTTATGTTTTGAGTCTCGACGTCCCCCCAAAGCCTCTTTCAGTCATAGGTGGGGCTTTTTCAGAGATGGCTGAATCTAGAGTGTATGACATTATGATTAAGGCTAGGTGATAACTAAACCAGTACACTGATTGGTTTGGTACTGCCCTAATCCTGTAGCCAGGATATAATATAGGAACAGAAAGAGGCTTGTTTGCCCTTGTCTTTGCTGCCTTCTGCGTACAGTGAACTATTTCTCCTCTGTGATGCCCCCCTGCCATGTGCCACCCTGCCTTGGAGCCAGGTGATTATGGACTGAAACCTCTACAAACTGTGAGCGAAATAAACCTTTCCCCCTTTAACTTTGGGTACTGGGTATTTTTGTCTCAGCAATGAGAAAAGTAACTAAGACACTGAGATAAAGCTACATGCAGCTTTGGTTTTCTTCCTTTGAGTCAGGGATACTAACTTCTTCCTCATCCTTGTTGAGTTCTTCACCCCAGCCACGTTTGGATGAGTTTGTTAAAAGCCAAAATACAGAGCTGGGCATTTAGCTCAGTGGCTCCATGCCTGCCTTGCAAGCACGAGGTCCTGAGTTTGATCCACTGGTACAAAAAACTAAATAAAAGCCTAAATTGCAAGCTAGATGTGGTGGCACACTTCTGTAATCACAGCACTCTGGGATACTGAGGCAAGAGGATCACAAATTCTAGTCCCACCTGGACAATTTAGCAAGATCCTATCTAAAAATTTTAAATTTTGAGAATGTAGCTAATTTGGGGAAATGTAGCTCAATGTGAAGGCCCTGAGTTCAATGGGGTAGTGGGGCTACAAGTTTATTTATAGAGCTCATTGGCTTTTACTTATGGTTCATGACTGGAGCCCGCCTCTAATTCTACAAAATAGGAGAATGCCCACCGGACAGTAGCAGAATAGTAGGTTTTATAAGGTAGGAACAATGACAGAACAATAGAAATAAAGCTGATTGGTTAACTCAGTTTACTTTTTTGGTAAGGATTAAAGCAGACGCAGGTAGATTTAAAATCTCTTTTCAGGAAAAACTTGTATGTTTGGGGATCTACTGAGGCCAGCCTAGGCTACATAGTAAGCTCAAGGCCAGCCTGAACTGCATAGCGAGACCTTTCTCAAAAAAAAATTCCAACTGGATGAGAGGAGAGGATTTGGGAGGTACAGAATTTCTTTCAGGGAGATGGAAATATTCTGGATTTGATAGGGGTGATAGTAGTGCAACATTGTGACCATATTAAAAATCATTGCATTGTATGGTTTAAGATGGTAAAAATTCTGAATTTTGATGTTGTATGAATTTTATCTCAAAAAGTTTAATTGCAGTTGGAATTTTGATTGAGATTATATTCAATTAGTTTATTAATTTTGTGAGATTTGACTTCTTTTTGTTGTTTTTTGTTTTTTGAGATATAGTCTTCCTATGTATTATAGGCTGGCCTTGAACTCACTATGTAGCCCAGGCTGGTTTGGAACTTGAACTTGTGGTAAAATCCTCCTGCCTTGGCCTTGAAAGTACTGGGGTTATAGGTGTATACGACCATGTCCTGCTTGACTTCTTTTTTGTTTGTTTGTTTGTTTGTTTTGGTACCAGGGATCAAACTTGGGTCCTTGGGCTTGTGAGGCAGGCGGCGGAACCACTGAGCTAAATCCCTGGCCCTGCTTGACTTCTTAAGAATATTAAGTTGCCCCATTCAAGGCGATGGAATCTCTGAACTCATTCAGATCATCTTTTATATCTATTACTAGAGTTCTAAACTTTCCTCTGTAGAGACCACAGAGAGTTCCTGTATGCTTCTGACTCAGTTGTCGCTAATGTTCACAAAATATGTAGCCAAATACAGTTATCAAAACTAAAAAATTAACATTGGCACAATAATACAAATTTAAATTCACCATTTTTTTTTTTTGCTAACACCATTCCCTGCCGCTTTCTAGGATGTTGTCCACCAACCTAAATTGCATTTTGTCACTCCATTTCCTTTGTCTCCTATAATCTATGACAGTTTGTCAGTCTTTCTTTCATGACCTTGACATTTTAAGGGGTACTGGCCAGTTACTTTATACTACACTCAGCTGTTTGAAGCTGTTTTGTGTTTTCTCATAAATAGATTAAGATTATGTATTTTGGGCAAAAATATCACAAAAGTGATCATGAACTAGTCTCAAAGTATCCCATTCAGAAGCACATGGTACCAAGCTGTCTAACTTTTCTCCTTGTGATTAATATACTGGGGGGAGATACTGTAAGACCATGCAAATACCTTGTTTCTTCTCAAGCTTTTACCCACTGATTCTAGCATTCATCAGTGGATCTTGCCTACAATCACTATTTTTGTGGCATTCTAATGGGGATTTTCTTATTTATTTACTTATTTATTTCAGTTCTAATGATCAAACCCAGGAACTTGTACAGGCTAGGCAAGTGCTCCAACATTGAGCTACATCTCCAGCTAATGTTGATTTTCTGTTTCTCTTAATCTTCTATAGTACTTAATTAGAATTATTCTCTAAGGAAAAGATATCCCTCTCTTTCACTTATTTGTTATCAGTACAGACTCATGGACATTTCTTTTATTCTATAGGGCATAATTTAATACTATTATATTTATTTTGTTGCTCCTATTATGCCAACTTGGACCATTGGGGACTCCTCTCAAATAGGTTTCTCTACCCTTTACATTGACCCTCTCTTTTTTTGAGCACTTCCTTACTTTCTGTCACCATTAGATGTTCCATGCTCATCTTGCCTTTTTCCTGCTCAAACTCTACAATCAACTGTTTTTCCAAAGAACTCTGCAAACGTGGTATCCCACATGGAATACTGGAACAGAAAAAGGACATTAAAGATATTGGTTAAAAACTTAGAAGTCTGACAAAATATGGATTTTGGTTAATAATATTTTCATTAATTATTGTACATGCACCATAATAATTAATGTAAGATGTTGATTGAGAGAAGTGTACAAATTAAAAATCCATTATATAACTTTTTATAAATGTAAAACTTTTCTTTAAAAATTAACTTAATTACAGATCTGAGGGTAACTTGATCTTTGACTTCCCAGCTATTTATTAAGCCAAAATTTTTTAATGTTAATAAAAAATAAAAAGCAGGAAGCCAGTCATAATGGAGCACACCAAAATCCTAGCACTGTGGGAGACAGAGATAGGAGGAGCCACATGTTCAAGGCTGGCCTGAGCAACTGTAACTTAGTAATGTGGTGAGACCCTGTCTTAAATAATAAAAAATTAAAGGGACTGCAGATGTAGCTCAATGCAAAGACCCTGGGTTCAATCCCAGTTACTGAAAAATGAAATGATTTTGTTCTTCTGTTTATTAGCGCCACTGTATCAGTTAGCTATTGCTTTATTACAGACCTAAAGCAATACACATTAACTCTTGCTCATGAGTCCACAGGTCAGCCGGACTGGCTTGATTGCAGGAATGTAGGATGACAGTGTAAAAATAGAGACACTTGGAGGATAAACCTAAAACTGTCACCTAGTAACTTAAAAAATAAATCATTTGAACCTGGCCAGGAACAAGGAACCATTTTTAAAATTTGGTAAAAAGGGCCAAGGATTTAGCTCAGTGGGAGAAAATGGAACAGAAATTTCAAATTTTCTGAAGAATGTGAACCAGCCAACTCATACTTGGTATTCTATCAGAGAATTGTGACTCTTTTGTTGGTCAAAACATGATCAATTTTTTAAAAATGATCAATTTATTAAACAAATGATATAGAAAACTTTTTTCTTTTTTTTTCCCCATTAAGTTTATTGGTACATTTTAGGTATAAAATATAGTTACAGAGCCAGGGATTTAGCTCAGTGATTCCACCGCTTGCCTTGCAAGCACAAGGACCTGAGTTCGATCCCTGGTACCAAAAAAAATTAATAAATAAAAATAAAATAAAATACAGTTACATACATCATTGGGATCTTGTACCATTACATGAGTATCTTGGTTCTTATTTTTTTCC